TTACAGGTCCCCAGCCCCTCCTCCCTCAGACCCAGGGGTCCAGGTCTGGGGCCGCCATCTCTCTCAGAACACAGGGGTCCTAGCCTCTACCTGCCTTCTCTTTCCTCCTCCCAGGCAGCCTGTGGGCTGCTCCAGGATAAATGGAGATTTCAGCTGGGGACTGACAAGCACTAACCAGAAATGTTGTCACCATCACCTGCTGCTGAGACCCATGGGGCTGGGAGACCAGGGACCCACAGCATGTGCAGGCACATGAACAGGGACACACACAGATGTGTGTGTTTGTGTCTCCAGGAAATACAAACATAATGGAATATGGGATTCAGTCAACACACAAGGACACACACAGACACCAACACAGACACACATGCATCCACAATTCAGGGACACACACACACACACACACACACACACCAAGCATCTGCCCATTCAGGGCAGCTGACTTTGGGGACAGCATAGGTAGGGCAGGAGGGTCTCCCCAAACTCCCATATCCAGATCTGCCCTCAGCCCAAGCCTCTGCCCTTCTCCTGGCACCCTTGCCCCTTCCTCTCTACTTCCGGAAGCCTCTCTGCCTCTGGGTCCCTCTCCTCTCCTCTCCCAGGTTCACTTTTCTCTGTTGCTTATGCTCCCCATACCCCTCAATCCTCTCTCCCCGATTCCCTGAGTTCCTGTTTCTTGGCCTCTCACTTCTGTGGGTCTGTCTGTCGTCTGTCATCAGTTCTCCTGCCCCCTCCTCCATCTGTCTTTTTCTCGGAATTATCTTTGTCCATTTCCTTGGTCCTCCGTAGCCAGTTAGTAACATCTGGGGTTTTCTCTCTGAGCCACTCTCGGTTTGTCTCTCCGGCGCCCTGTCTTAGGGTGTCTCTGTCTGTTCTGAGTCTCTCTGAATATCTCTGTCAGTCCCTGTCTCTCTCTGTAACTCAAGGCTTTGCAGTCTCCAAGTTTCTCTGTGTCTCTGCATCTCTCCTCTCTCTCCCATCTCTCTGTCTCTTCCTCTCTGTCTCTGTCTCTCTGTCCATCCATCTCTCTCTCCCGGCCCCTCCCTCCCTCCCCCTCTCTCCCTCTCTGTCTCACTCTTCGCCTCTCTCTTTTCTCTCTCAAGTGTTTTCAATTTTATTCTGAGTGGAATTAACTACCCCTGATGTCAAATTGCCGCCGAAATCGATAATAATATCTTTACAAAAGAGGATATTCTTCTCTCGGAGAACGGCCTCTGAAAAATGGAAAATTTAGTCGAAATTGATTCATTACTTGACACTTTATAGAACGGCTGCGTATTGATCGCACCTGTCATGTCCCATCTCCCCTAATCGAAGCTGAAGGCCGGCTCCGATGCCTGCTATTTTTCATAATTCCACCGCAGCCGACAGCTCCACAAACACCACCGCTCGCTCAGCCTCCGCCTCCCTGAGCCGGCTGCCACCGCGCGCCCTCGGCCTGGCCCTGGCCTCGCCGGCCACGCTGCACGGCTGTCCCTCTGTCCATCTGCCCACCAATTCTGCAGACGCCCTCTGTCCGTCCTCCCCTCCCTCCTGGCCACTCTCCCTTGCTGGCTGGCTGTCCCTCCTGCCCCAGCCCCAAGTCTGTCTGTCTGTCCGTCTGCCCAGGCCTTCATCCTTCCACCTCCCAGGCCCCTCTCGGTCCATCCTCTCCCACCCAGTATAGGGGGTGGGGTGGGGGAGCCGTGGCTATGCTGTCTGTTTGCACCCCTCTTCCAGCTGACGGGACTCCCCCATTCATTCCCTCTGCTCTCCCCAACATCCACGGAGGTGTGGCTTGGCTCAGTTCCAGCCCCCCCAGCTCTCCTGGGACTCCCTGCCCTTCTCCCCAGCCCCTCGCTGCCCGGCTTCTCCCTGCCTCCCTCCCTGCTCTTTAATGTCCTCTCTCAGCCTCCCTCCTCCCCTCTCCCTCCCTCCCTACCTCCTTCCTGGGCCAGGCTTTGCCCTCAACTGGAACCCAGAGAGGAATCAGGCACAGGCCCTGCCCACAGGGAGCCTCGAGCCCTGGGGATCGGGGCGGCGGGTGGTCATACTGAGCGGAGGACACAGTGGTAGGGTGGGCCCTGGTCTGGGAGGACGCAGAGCCGGGTAGGCAGGGCAGCCTGGTGGTTAAGAACACAGACCCGGTGGCCAGGCTACCTGGCACCAGGTCCCCTTCCAACAATAACTAGCCATGACAGTCAGCAAGTGATTCTGTGTCTCAGTTTCCTCATCAGTAAAGTGGGGGTGAAGCTTAGAACAGCACTTACCTCTTAGAGTTGTGCCGTGAGAATTGCTTGAGTTAATCTGTGTGTAGAGTTTAGGCCGGTGACCGGCGTCTGGCAAATACCATTAAATAGTCATTGTCGTGCCTATTGTCATGCTGGGACTGGGCCCCATTTAACTTCCCCCACCCGAGTCTCCCCACCTCCCCTTTTCTCTCGTGGTTCCGAGAGGGCTGCAGTTGTGGGGACGGAGTTAGGGAGATGGAATTTTGGGATGGGGGGCTCCTGGTTTCACCCTCTGTCACCTTTAGTGCTTTCAGCTGCACTAGGAGGCATCTTTGCTAAAAGCAATCTCGAGAGAGCCAACAGCCTTCACGGAGGGGTCTTCTTGCTCTCGGGCGTTTCTCTCTTTCTTTCTTTTTTTTTTTTTTTGAGACGGAGTTTCGCTCTTGCGATCTCGGCTCACCGAAACCTCCGCCTCCTGGGTTCAGGCAATTCTCCTGCCTCAGCCTCCTGAGTAGCTGGGATTACAGGCACGCGCCACCATGCCCAGCTAATTTTTTGTGTTTTTAGTAGAGACGGGGTTTCACCATGTTGACCAGGATGGTCTCGATCTCTTGACCTTGTGATCCACCTGCCTCAGCCTCCCAAAGTGCTGGGATTACAGGCGTGAGCCGCCGTGCCCGGCCTCGCTCCTGGGGGTTTCAAGAGCCAATCGGATATTACAGACCCCAGAGGTCTGCTCTCTCCTTCATGGGTAAGAAATTCAGTCCACTGGGTGTTACAGGCTGGTGAGGGTATTCTCCTTCTCCCTCTCTCTCGGTCTCCCCCTCTCCTAGGGGGCATTAAACACCCTGAGGGCGTCCTCTCTCAGTGGGGTATTAACTACAGTCTTCTGCTGCTGCAGCCTCCCTGGGGATGTTAAGTACAGCTTAATGATCCCCCTCCTGTGAGACGCTTCCTTCAGCCAAGTAGGCAGCGTTGGCAACACTGCTAACTAGGCAGTGTGTGCCCTGCCGGCCGCGGGAATGCTGCACAGTGAGGGCCCTTTCACCGAGCACCTACCTTGTGCCTTACGAGGCACTGCGCACACTGATGTCTCCTCAGGAATCATCCTGAACCCTAGGGCTCGGAGAGGCAGCACAAATCACTCCAAAATGCACAGCCCCAAAAGGTGTTCCAGAACACAAGACGGTGTCTTCTGGGGGTGGGGGACGCTGAGGGTGTTCTGAACAGTCAGATGGGTGCAGTTCCCTTTCCCATGGGTGTGATGCACAGGGCAATGGGTCCTGGCCGCCCCACCCCCAGAGCATAAGAGAGCTCTCCTTGGAAATCCTCCCCACCCCGATTGGCCACTGCAAGCCCCTCAAAGGTGTTACATTACAGTCCGGGTGTTTCAGACCTCTGGGGACATTTTCCAGTCTCCCAGAGGGGCGTGGCTGAGAGGTAAAGTCTTATTGTCCTCTTGACTATGGTCTTTGCTATCTTTAGGGTGTCACTCACATTCCAAAGAGGTTCTATTTTCCAATAGGGTGTCATGGATGGTGTAATAAACTGTATCTCTCTGGAGAGTGTTCTATCTTACTGAAGGGTGTTATCTACAGTCAATTGAGCTCTTTCTGCTTAGAAGGTGTTCTGTCCCTCTTCTCTGGGGTTTAATGGTCATGAGATGCATTCCAGTGGGTATATTCAAAGCCTTGATGGTGTCCTAGCTCTCTTCAAGGCCATAGCCAACAAGTCACATCTACCCAGAGGGTGTCATCTTTTTCCCAAAGAATATCCTATGTGGGAGGAGTCCTGCCCCACAGAGGGTATTCTGGAAACTTCTCCTTGGCATTCAAAGCCAGGTACCGGGCAGGTAGAGGGGTTTTCTGTAGCATGCTGGGTGTTACAGACAGATTCAGAGACAGACACAGACACACAGACACAGACCTGCCATCTACACATGGGGCACAAATACGTGCACTGTAATACAGGAAGTGGGAACACACAACCCGCACATGGAGACATGCAGGCACACACAGAAACACAGGCACAAACCCTGCCTAGCTGGTGAGTGGACCAAGTAGGCGGTGGACAGTTCTGGGCTGTCATGGACACCCAGAGGACCATGGCTCCGGGGCACAGGGTCATAAATGTCACCCAGTAAAGCCTGCTGGCTCCTTGAAAGAATGTTCCCTACAGTCCAACTGCAGAAAACGTCCAGACAAGTAAAGGAATTCTTGTTTTCTGGCAAAATTCTTAATATTTTTAACGGGATTACTTGGAAGCAGCAAGCTCACAGCAAATGTGTGTATATTTGGTACTTGGTGCGGTACCAGCTGTGCTCCATGCGCCCTGTCACTTTAGGAGGGAGGCCATTATTGTCCCATTTTGCAGATGGGGAAACTGAGGCTCGGGGATGTTTAGTGACTTGCCTGAGTGGTGAGAGGTAGTGAGGCTGAACCCTGTCAGGCAGGGCTGAAGTTCTCTTCTAGCCTCTCAGCACTTCGGTCTCAGTGCTGGGCACTGGTGGGGTTGGTGAGATCCCACACCGACCCCTCTCCTGGCCACTGTATATCCACCTGGGGACTGTGGTCTTGCCCTGAGACCTACTTTCCCCTCCCGGGACAGAAGCCTCCAGGGGCGCCTGGGTGAGAGCTGCCTTTCTCCAGAGAAGGTGGTGTGGGGCTTGGTAGGGTGCAGCCTGACCTGGGAATGGGAGAGAAAAGTGGGGGAGGAAAGTGGAAGCAGAGAGAGGGTAGGGTGAGGGCAAGGGGCAAGGGAGGGGACAGGAGGGTTGACAGTGAGGGTAAGGGTCAGGTTGGGCCTGGAGGTCCCGTGAGGGGATTTGTGGATCTGACCCGCCCTAAGGGTGGTCCATATTGACTAGTTATTTCAATGGGAGCAGATCCGGCTGGGTGGGGCCCTTCCTGTTACCGCAGGTGTTCGAGTGTGCGCCTGTGACCTTGTGGGCGTGAAGGGGAGTGTCAGTGTGCCAGCCCTGGGTTCTGTCTCTTGACTATCCACGTGTGAGTGAGGGCCTGTGTGTCCAGGCTGTGTTGAGGGTGAGTGTGGCTGAGTGTGTCCGTGTAGCCTTGTGTGCCTGTGTCCAGTCTGTGGGTCAGTGGATCGGAAGTGGCTGTGGGTTGGGGAAGGTGTGGTGTGCAGGCTGTTTGTGTGTATGTTTCTCTGTGTGTGCTTGAATGTGTCCGTGTACGGGTTGTTTCCACTTCCTGAATTAAGATACGCATGTGTGTGCTGCGTGTACAGATGGCGGGTCTGTGTATGCGCGTCTGGGTCTGTCTCTCTGTAGGGCTGTGTGTCCGAGTGCAGTGTCCGCCTTACTGTATCCCTGTGTCCCTCTGTCCGTGTGTCTACTGGCCAGGCTGCGTGTGTGCAGGTCCGTGTTCCAGTCCGGGTCCAGGTCTGCGTGTCCAGCAGGGGTCCTGGCCGTGTCGTCCCCACCTCCACCTCGCGCCTGTCCGTTTGTCCGCGCGTCCTCCCGGGGAGGAGCGGGGCGGAGGGGAAGGGATGGGGAGAGGAGGGGGTCTCTCCACCCACCCCCACTCTCTCAGTCCCGGGATCGAACCTTATTTAGAGTCGCGATTCGACATCTGTTTTCAAATTTGATCAGCTCTGAACTTTATTTTCCGAGTTTGAGGAAAATTATATTCCATCGATCGCGCCCCCGCCCCCTCCCCCGCGCCGCCGCCGCCGCCTCCATATATCTGCGCGCCGAGCCCGGCCGGGCGGCCGCGAGGGCGGGAGGCGCGCGGCGCGCAGAGGAGGAGCGGAGGGAGGAGGAGGAAGAGGAGGAAGAGGAGGAGGCCGCAGAAGGCAGGGCCGCCCCACGCCCCCAGCCGGCCCGGCGGTCCCCGGCGCGCGCCCGGCCGCGCTCGCCGCGCTGCGCTCTCGTCCGAAGCTCCGGCCCAGGCTCTCCGCGTCTTCGCTCTTTGCGCGTCTGTCTCGCTGTCTCTCTCCCTCTCTGCACCTCCCCGTCTCTGCTCGTCCCCCTGTGTCTCTCTCCTTGGCTGTCTCTCAGTCTCTGAGTCTCTCCCGTCCCGGCGTCTCCCTCTCCGCGTCCTCCGGGTCTCTGCCTCCCCGGGGCTCCGGGCATCCCCCCACCCCGCCCCTCGCCCCGGTGCCCCCTCCCCAGCACGCCGCGGGGGCCATGGCTGCGGGATCCGAACTTTAAACACTTCTCCCCGGACCGGAGCGGATGCGCAAAGCCGAGAAAGTGAGTGAGCGCCGCGAGCCGGCGCACGGGCGGGGAGGGGAGGGGGAGAGGGAGGAGAGGGGGCGGGGATTCCTGCCCGAGGCGAGGGCGGGAGCGGGCGCTGTGGTGGTCCCGGGAGACCTGCGGAGAGGGGCCCTCCGAGCCCGAGGAGGTGCTGGCGAATGGGGTCTTCCGCCCCTGCAGTGGGGGGCGGGTGGGGCTGCGCCCAACTCTGGGAAGGTGGGAGGCGGGTAGCGCTGGGGGTGCGGCCTCGGGACAGAGGTGAGATATTTGGGGGCGGGGAGGGAGAGCGAGCGAGAGCCTCGGAGACGGGGTTTGCGAGAGACTGGACTGAAAATTTGGGAACGGGGGTTGATGTCCGACCTGTAGATGGGTTTGAATGTTTGGGACTGAGGATTCTGGATATTGGGGCTAGATTCTGAGTGGGGTTTAGAGGTCAGGGCTGAGGGCTTGAATATTTGGAACCTAGGGGCTCAGAGCCAAGAAACTGGACACTTGGGGCGGAAAATCTAGGTATCTGAGGTTGGGAGCTGACTGGGGCTGGGAATCAGGACTGGGAGTCAGGACTGGAGATGTGGCTATCTGGGACCAGAGTCACATAGGAGTTTGGACTTGGGGCGGGGAGGCAGAAATCTGGATTTGGAGTTGGAGTTCAAGGCTGAGGGTCTGCTAATTTGGATCTGGATTATCTGCGGTCTGGATATTTGGATTGGGAGGTGTCACAGGGTCTGTGGGAAGGACATTTGGGCCAATTCTGGGGTCTGCACACTTTGGGGCAGGGAGTACAGGCCTGGCCCTGACCTTTGTGGGGCCAGGAGCCCTCTGGGACCCCCTTTCTGTCTGTCATTCCACCACTGTGGCAGGGCCCTTTTGGGCCACTTCTGCTGTCTCCCCTGGCTGGGTCTCTTCTCGCTCTCTCTCTGTCTCTGTCTCTCACAGCATCTCTGTGTCCACCTCTAACGCTCCCAGGATCTGTCTCTCTATCTCTGTCTCTCGAAGCATCTTTCTCTTCCTCTTTGGGTCCAACTCTTAGACTATCTCTCTCCAAATCTCTGTGCTTATCTCTCCCTGTGTGTGTGTCTCTCTCTCTCTCTCTCTGCGCCTCTCTCTGTCTCTTACTATCTCTCCATCTCTGTCTCTCCCAGCATCTCTGTCTCTGTCTCCCCCTCTCTGGTTTCCGCTCAGATTAAGCCGGGGACCTAATTCCAGGCCCAGGATCGAATTTTCTGGCAACAAAGGGAAATAGCGAATCGATCGGTCGCTCCGGAGATTAAGAGACAAGCGGCGCGCGGATCTATCACGGCTAAACGGCCCCCCCGCCCGCTCCCCCCGCCCGGCTGGCCCGCCGAGGCCCAGACGCGCTCCGCATCGCCAAGCAGCCTCAGGAGCCCTGGCTGCCCGGCAGGCCAGGCCTCGCCCAGCCCAGAGCTAACTGTGTGCCCCGTGGAGGGCCAGAGCCATGGGAGGGACCCAAGAGCCAGAACTGGCTCCCCGAGGGAGGGGAGCGAGAGAAACCCCCAAGGCGGCAGACCATTTGGCAGTCAGCATTGCACTCACCTGTGGCCTCAGGTAACTAACCTTTCACTCACACCTGTCTATCAACACACCTGTCACATCCGTGTTCCCCCTTCAGCTCCCCACATCTGGACTTGCAGGTACCATCTATCTCCTTACACCTGCCTGCACGCATCACCTGCCTTCCTTACCTGTTCCCTTCTATTGCCCTGGAGGTAACACCTATTTCCTCTTACCTGCCCCTCCAGGTAACACTTGTCCCCTCAAACTTGCCCTTAAGATGTCTGATCTCTTGGGGGACATATGTCCCCTCTTAACCTGCCCCTCCAGGTAACACCGTTCTCTAAAATCTGCCCTTCCCACTGGAATGCCTGCCATTGATCTCATTTCATGCCACACTGGCCTCTTCCTACCTGTATATGAACCATCCCATCTGTCCCATAAAGCTCTATAAACTCACCTGTTTTTCATACATTCGTATTGCTTCCCCTCTTCCTCCTCTCAGGCAGTGCTGATTCACTGCACGTGCTCACACTCACACTTCGTCCTTTGCACACAAGCACTCACACCTGCATCCTGCTGACCTGTGTCTTCAGGTAAGACCTGCCCCCACCAGTCCCTAGCCTCCTGGCCTTCCCCCATCCTTCTTGGTGACACTGCTGCACCTCCTCATCCACCCCACACCTGCCCTTCCAGAACAGCTGGCCACACATGGGCCACCTGAGAGCACGCCTGCTGCCCACACCCCTCTCTTCCTGTACCTGATTCCCTCCCTGACTTCCAACAGTTCCCCAATATCTGTCTTTCCTATTTGTCATTTCGGATTACTCATCGCAGAGAGTAGAAGCACCTTCCCCACCTGCGCCCTAACCCCAAGTACCACCTGATCACCAGGCCACACGCTGGTGCCCTCCTCAGAGCCTTCCCTGCTATCACGTCTTCCTCCAAGCCCTTGTCCCCGAGCTTCCCTGTTTCCCTGTCCCACCTGCCCACTGCCTGCTCACCTGTGTCTCACTCCTTCTCTCAATGTCTCTGCCTCTCTTGGACTCTCTCTCTCTCACTCTACACAACACCGCTTTACATATACACACGTTTGGGGCAGGGAATCTGTCCTTGGCCACAGGTATCTGCCTCACCTGCACACCAGTTTTTCCACGCCTGCCCCTCTGGTACTGCCTGTCCATTTCTCTTCTTTCCCCACATACCTAATTCCCCATGCTTCCCTCTCTGATTTTTGCTACAGAAGGTGACATCAGTGCCCCCATACACCTGCCATTCCTCACCTGCTTATCCCGGGAATCCTCTGCCCTGGAAACACATTCAGTCATTTCTTCAGCAAACAGGTACCGAGGCCTCCACACCCCACACGCCTACCCCCACTTCATCTCTCTTTGCTTCACATCTCTTCAACTGGGTCTAGGGGAGACCTTCGTCTGGGCACAGCCCTGTCCCACAGACATGCACTCGGTTCCTCACACTCCAGCCACCTCTCTCCTTTTACTCCCCCCAGACATCCCTGTGACCAGAGTCCCTTCGCACCTTCTGCAAGCATCGTGAATGCCTGGTACACCCCTCATTGCCTCATTCACCTTGGCTACCTGTCCCTGCAACCTGTCACCACCACACCTTCAGATCTCTCACACCTGTCCCCAGCCTGCTTCTCTCCAGAAACTCTGGTCCCCTTTCCTAGCGAATGTCTTTGATGAGCTCTCTCCTGGGTAAGCACCTTCCTCCGTGTGCATGATAACACCTGTAGCAAGGGTTAGACACATGTGGCGCCTGTTCCCAGCTCCCCCACACCTGCCCCTGCACCGCACAGCCTCTCGCAAGTCCGAGGTTCTCTGACTTCACTGAGCATCAGAAACACCTGTTCCACGTATCACTTTCTGAGTGGCAGCTGCTTGTAACATGTGCCCCACCTGTTCCACCACAAACACCTGCCCTCCCCATATATACTGATGGCGAGGGCGAGGGTGAGGGTGAGGGTGATGGCGGCGGTAGCTCCTGATTACTAAGTCCACCATCTGTCTCTGTGACAGTAAGTTCTTCACACCCATTGTCTCATTTGTCCTCATAGGACCCTCATGAGGCAGGTACTTGCCTCCTGTCCCCATTTTACAGAGAAGGAAACTGAGTCCAGAGAGCTTCTTGGAGGTCCCATAAACAGGTAGATGTTAAGAGATTTGAGTCAAATCAAGGCTGTCTGACTTCAGAGACTACCCTCCTAGCCATCCAGGTGTCCTTGCCTCCCACATCTGCCCCTCAGGTGACCTCCTCTCTCCAGATACATCTGTCTAGCTAGTGACTTTGGTGACACTTGCTTCTTCATTACCTCCCAACCCATCTCCCCTGCACTCCAGCCTCACTTTCTCACCCTCCATCCACTCCTGGGGCCAAGGCTGTCATCCCACTTGCTCACCCCCACCTCCCCCACAAGCTGTGTAGGGCCAGCACACCCCTGCCTCCCCAGACACACCCCCAGCACAGCCCCTCCCAGCACACCCCTATCCCCAGACACACCCCCAGCACAGCCCCTCCCAGCACACCCCTATCCCCAGAACACCCCCAGCACAGCCCCTCCCAGCACACCCCTATCCCCAGACACACCCCAGCACAGCCCCTCCCAGCACACCCCTATCTCCCCAGACACACCCCCAGCACAGCCCCTCCCAGCACACCCCTATCCCCAGAACACCCCCAGCACAGCCCCTCCCAGCACACCCCATCCCCAGACACACCCCCAGCACAGCCCCTCCCAGCACACCCCTATCTCCCCAGACACACCCCCAGCACAGCCCCTCCCAGCACACCCCTATCTCCCCAGACACACCCCCAGCACAGCCCCTCCCAGCACACCCCTATCCCCAGAACACCCCCAGCACAGCCCCTCCCAGCACACCCCATCCCCAGACACACCCCCAGCACAGCCCCTCCCAGCACACCCCTACCTCCCCAGACACACCCCCAGCACAGCCCCTCCCAGCACACCCCTACCTCCCCAGACACACCCCTAGCACAGCCCCTCCCAGCACACCCCTGCCTCCCAAACCCCCCTCCCTGCATGCTGGCCTTTCCTTTCTGCCCACCCTCATTTCCTTTCCTTTCTCCATTTCCACCTTTGCCACCACCTGCCCATATCTCCTTGCCCCTGTCCATCTCTGCCTGTCTGATTCTGAGTCTCTGTCTCTGTATCTGTCTCTCTTCACTTCTGGCCTCTCCACCCCTCTGTCCCACCCTGTCTTTTTGTCTTCACCTGTCTCCCAGTCTCTCTTTGTTCTCCATGTTTCTCTGGTTGTCTTTGTCTGCGTCTCTCTCCATACAGTCTTTACAGCTCTCTGACTCTCTCAATTTCTCCACATCCTGGACTCTGTCTGTCTCGTCTTTGTCTCTTCCCTCCTTTTCTGTCTCCGGCCCTTGCTCTGTCCTCTGACAGTACAAATATTGGGGGCTTCAAGTCATACTGACCTGCATTCAAGTCCAGGCTC